ATATATATATATATATATCAGTAGAAACTATTACTGCTGTAGCTCAGAGAACAAATGATGAATATCTGTAAGATCCAAAGTTACACATGCAGACGACTATGGGGCATCCCCCTCCAAGAGATTTTCCAATTCTATTAGAAGTAAATTAAAAATAGACTGCTACATTTTAAATCAAAATAGGACATTTGTCAACATGAGGCCTCTGAGGAAGTATTCAGAATGGAAATTAATGTTGCCCATAAATCCTCCAGGATAGAGATGAAAATTTGTATGGGGAAACATTTCCTATGCTGGGGGTGCAGGAGTGGTGTCTTGTGCTTTTGGGAACTGGGTTAGTGGGCTTCTTTCAAGATACAGCAATGAGTCAGCCATTGGACATAGACCAGTGGTGGGTTTCCATTTTTTTACTACTAGTTCGCTCGTGCGTGTGTGACACTTCTGCCATGCGTAGAAGCGTCTGGGTGGGTGGGCGCAGCCTCGCACCACCACCACTATAGAGCAACACACCTCTGACTTAAACTAAGTGGTTCCTTTCATACTCACATTCTTAAAGTGTGTATTCAACTTCAAGGGAACTCAGTGAAAACTGGGTGTACAGTATTACTGAGGTGCCTTCAATATTCATTTGATTATAGTGTAATATTTAAACCCTATGGAAAACCAACAAGTGATGATTTTTCTGTATTTTGGTGTTGGTTTCCACCCCTTCCTTCGGCAACTGTTTCCTTTTCCTCACCCCAATCTAATTCTCCCTTCCTTCAGAAAGAGACATTCCAGAAGAACTGGATCAAAAATTAATAACCTGGGAGATGCTCCAGAAAGAAAATTACCTGGCAAATTTGGAAACAAAGAAAAAAGAAAGCAACGAGGAAAAACTGAAGAAGATGTCAGACAAGTAAGGGTCAGCAAGTAAAGTGCAGTTTGATGTAATTAAAAAGCAAGGGTCATGTTTATATGTTTATAATCAGGTCAGCAGCAAACATTTTATAATGGGTGGCTTTATTTACTTCATTTTCGTTCTCTTATTCTTTTCCTGTTTCCATTTCCCTTTCCCTTTTTGAAGCTTTATATCCTACCTCCGACATGCAACATAATCCAACATCATTGTTCTTCAAGGCAACCTACTGCAAATGTCCACTGTACAAACATATCCTTGTATAGGTGATATGAGAAACGCCAGCATTAAAAAATGCACATGTTATATGGCCCTCGCAATGAAAATGTCAGGAATGGCATTAATAGAAGTCACTTTTTGTGATAAGATTTTGTCTAAATATTTGGCGGTTCGAACCCCTAGTGCCATGTAACAGAGTGAGCTTCCATTACCTGTCCCAGTTTCTGCCAGCCTAGCAGTTCTAAAGCAGGTAAAAATGAAGTAGAAAAATAGGGACCAGCTTTGGTGGGAAGGTAACAACGTTCTGTGAGCATTTAATTATGCTGGCCACATGACCATGGAGAAGTCTTCAGACAGCGCTGGCTCTTCGGCTTAGAAGCAGGGAGGAGCACCACCTCTAGAGTCGGGAACGACTAGCACATATGTGTGAGGGAAACCTTTACCTTTATTCTAAATGTAGAGATGAACAGCAGAGTCTGATGTTTAGAACCCAGTTCAGACATCCAGTGGTTCTTATAGGTTCACCAACTGAATTCCAACTAGAACAGGATTGCACAGAAGTGTCAACAGATACCTCCATGTAGAATCTATGTACATGGAATTTGAGTAGCAGGTAGCAATCACTCAAAATCCAAACTAGAAGATATGAGTTGCTATAGTAGGTGGATGGATTCAATCTTACTGTTCATTTCCTAGATGGATAATTGTTAATTCACAGAAATTATTTGCAGTAGAAACTATTCTAAATATGTCTTGGATAGATGCTCTACTGAGTTCTTCAGGATCTCCTCTATGACCATGTTTTTCTGACTCTATCTATTATTCTTGGTTTATTTTAAAACAGGGTGGACAGCCTTTTAAAGAATTTTAGTGGTCTAAAAGAGCAAGAGAAACAGCTTAAATCTTTGGAATCACAAGTAAGAATTTCTTTCTTTATGCTTCAGTCGCACAATTTTTTATTTGTTTATACATATATTTCCAACATTCAGAAATCATGATAGGATTTCATGCATCAATCATTTTTTTTTTGTTTGGGGCATGCTTAGGTGAGATGGATAAACAATAGTCTATGGCCTTCTCCAGAAGGATACTTCAATAATAAATTACTTTCAAAATATGTTACATTCAAAGGACACTTTGGATTCTAAACCTAATAAACAATTCATAGATTCAAGGGTCTCAATTGGACAAAAGAACTAAGAAGAAACTACTGTATATGCAATTACCTAGAAGTAAGCCTACCCAGAAGTAAAACTACTTAAGTAAATGGGTAGAGGGTTTCAAAGTTTGATCTACAATTACATTCTGATTCTAGGACTGTATCACAAAACAAAACCACTATGCCATCAGTTTTTATTTCACAGAACTTTGCTATAATTAGTACTATAATTGTAGTATATTATTGAATAGTAATGGTATCCAAATAATTTGTTTTTTATTATGCAGATTAGCTATTGCACAATTATGCTTTCTTCAATGGCAGATACTTTAGTGAAAAACAGTTTATTTTTCAGCGGGCCAACTTCAAACAACACATGTGAGTAATGTGCTAATAAAGATTGGGTAGAGTGGGGGGGAATGCAAAACAGAGTTTAAAAAAAAAAACCTAAAATCCATTAAAAACAGTCTAATGCATAATACACACCAGAATTGCTGCAGAAGCATCTGTAATTGTGCTAAGTATAATGGCTATGATTTCATACATTGCATTCAGTCATAATGAAGGGGTTTTTTTTTGGCTTGGGCTGGGTTTTGTGAATCCAGACATTTTAATTAATGTTTAACAAATTGTGCCAATAAAATAATGCTTTATTCAATTAACTATGATTAACAAGCCATAGGCTTTAGGAATGTGTAAACCTTATTTTCTTAATCGTTAGATTATAAAGAAAGACACAATGATATAATGCAGTGGTTCCCAAACTTGGCAACTTTAAGACTTGTGGACTTCAACTCCCAGAATTCTTAAAGTCTTAAAGTTGCCAAGTTTGGGAACCACTGATATAATGGTTAAGAATTTAACATCTTGCCACTGTTTTTGACTGGCTAGGTCGTTCATAGCATTCCAGCTTAACCTCCTATGTGAAAATATGAGGAAAATGTTGGCCTGGTACATAGGAGACAAAGTGACCTCTCAATGCCGGGCACTTTAGCCAAACTCATTTTACTACATACTGAACATTGAGTGCCCTTTAAAAACACATTTTCAGACTGAAACAATTTCAATATTTTTAGTTTATCTGAAGGTACTCTGTTTCCCTGAAAATAAGACGTCCCCAGATAATAAATCCAATCAGGCTTTTGAGCGCATGCGCTAAAATAAGCCCTTCCCTGAAAATAAGGTCTCCCCACAAATATTGCAACGCAGCAGCAGCCGTGAGGTGACCATGCTCGCTGCTTTCTGCACCTCAAAAATAACAAGACCTCTCCGAAAATAAAGCCAAGTGTTTATTTCGGGAAGGTCAAAAGAAAGTAAGACTCTGTCTTGTTTTGGGGGAAACACGGTAGCTGTCAGCCCTTCAAGCTAGACTGGGAAACCAAAGTCATGAATGCAGGTATTACTTTCATAAGGTGTTACAGTAGTAACAGAACTTTGCAAGTATGAATTGCTTCTTCCCTCCCTCCCTTTGTGTGGACTAGGGAGCAGCTTGTCTGAGATACTTTCTCAGGTTACAGTTCTGCCCCAGATTCAGGTTTTAGTTGACAGTTGACTTGGTTGCATCTCATCCTCTGGTTTCCCATGGTTATTCTTTCTGCCTGTTCCTATAGTCTAGGAATGTACAGGAATGTAGGACCTACTTAGCTTCAGCAAGTCTGCTTCTGTGTACTCATTTCCACAATAGTAACTTTGGAAGTATAGTGGTTAGACACCAAGCTACAGAGACTGTGAGTTTTAGTCTCTCTTTGAGCATGAGGCCAGCTGGGTGACTTTGCCAGGTATATTTCTCTGCACTAAAATGAACATGTTTTATCATTATTAACCTTAAGATAGCACAATACTCCCTCGGCAAGCACAAGAGGGGCATTTGAATATCAAACTTGGGATATTTAAGATTTGCATATAGGCAGGAGGGGGGGAATATCCCACACACAGCAGCATAAATTATTCACATAGCTGATTTATGTATTTAACACCTGCTAATGAGAACAAAAATCTCACTTAACCAATTATGAGCATTAAGATAGAGTTGCCCAAGAGCTCCCAGATTTTGGGGATTAGAGCTTCTTTTGAATATGGAAGATCTCATATCTCTTTCTCATTTAAACCAGGTAAAAATAAACAACTTGATAATATATGTTAAAAGCAAGCACAAATGTACTTTCTTATAACAAAAAAATAATAAACATGTAGTCAGTCAGTATAAAAATGGATGTTTTGAATCTCCATACACGAGCTAGTGGAATTTGGTCCATAATTTGCCAGATTAATCTTTAAAGATTGCAGGTGTGTTATTTTCCCATTCTTGAACATCTCTACTGAAATACACAGAAAATATGTAAGGTTTTTTTTTTTTAAAGACAAGCTAGTCTTGACAAGTAGCATTACAAGAAGTAACTTGTTCAAATCTCACTATATCTGCTCATTCTTTATATAACCAATATTTTCATTTAAATTTTCATGTTTCATAAATGCAGGCACCGATCAAATGGTTGTACCAGAAAATGAAGATGGGGTAGATACCTGCCAGTTTGACGATGTGATATGTATCGATAACTGATTGTAACAGATCACTTCTCCGTATAATTTTGTCAATTCAAATACCTAATGGATATTTTCTTTTAATGTGAGAACACCACTGTAATAACTACATAATGCCTTCCTTTTACATTATATCCAATGTGTTTCCAGTAAATATTCTAATGACATCTCAAAAATATTTTTTATTCTAATTTTCACTTTTAAAATAAATTTTACGCTACCTGACTCTGTAAATTCATTTAGACTAGGGGTGTCAAACTCAATTTCATTGTGGGCCCCATCAGGGATGTGTTTTACCTCAAGGGGCCTGGTGGGCATGGTCAACTGGGTGGCATAGCCAGCTTGACGCCACTCACCATGCGTGGCCAACTGGGTAGGCGTGGCCAGCTTGAAACCATTCCCCAAACTGCTGGCCATGTTTTCTCACTGGGTAGACCAAGCCGAAACCACGCTGGTCCAATGTTTCCTCTTCGCACTGGGTAGACCGGGCCGAAGCAATGTGGCCTTGCCCCTTATATCTTCCAGGACACCCTCGTGAACCAGATTGGACCACATTGCAGGCTGAATCCGGCCCAAGGGCCTTGTTTGACATGCCTGATTTAGACCAAACCTTTAAATATTTTTTTATAACCAAGGAACATTTATATATCTTCTGTTCTTTTCAATTATCTTTCTTTGATATAGTTGTACATAGTATTCATTGATCTGCTTCCCTCATTTTGTGCCTTTCCCCTTGAACTTATATATTACTAGTGTAGTTTCCAATCTTGCTATTTTCCACTAATCATGAGTACAATTACATTTAGTTTCAATCCAAATATTTAATGTCTTTTTTGTATAAAATAATTAGACTCTGTTAGGCATTCACATATATAGGTAGTCCAAATTTAGCAGTTGCCAAGAAAGCAACCGCAGTTAAGACTGAAAAAGGTAACTTTGTGACCAATGGTCACATTTATGATCTTTTAGGACTTTAAAGCAAAAGAAAGGTGAAGTAAGATAATGAGCATTGCTGCAGTTTCACTTAGTGATTGCTTTGTTAATGACTGAGTTACCATTTCCAATTGTGATAGCTAAATGCGCATTACCTATAAGCAGTTAATAAAACAATTTTTTCCAACCAATGTATTTATTCATGAGCAAACATGCCAAGGTGAGAGTAATGCTGGGATAGTGTACAAGAGAACTGTAGCTGAATGAGATGGCATCTTGCTTACTTAAATGTAAAGGCAGAAAGTGTGACAAGTAGAAAAGGGCTAATGGGTAAAAAGAGGTACTACAAGAACAGAGAAAAAACTAGTTTTTGACACAAAGGGCTAGCTGCTAACATGCAGATACATAATTTTCAACCTAATTAAGCAGTTGTTCCCAAGTTTTATTGACACCAAAAATATCAAATGGATATTCTGCTAGAAATACTATTTTAAGCTCCTTTATTCTTACATAAACAGTTCAGTAGACAAAAATCCATGTACTTTAGAAGAAGCTTCCAAGTATGGAGGAGAAAAAATATTTCAGTTTTCAAGGAAGTTGTGGCAATTCAACAACCAATCTAAGTCTAAGTCTAAGTATGGCTTGGTTGGCTGTATTTCAATTTTAGAAAACATCGCTTCCAATTTGTTAACACTTTTCCTATGATCTTAACATACGGTATGTTTTCATTTTCTGGTCTCTAGCCAAATAACATACGAGTTGTCATATTTCATGCTTTTATTTTCATTTATACTGTGGAATAATATTGGTTAAATCTTTACCCCAGCTACAATAAACTGATAAACCTTGTACCTCATCCACAAGATATGTTTTGTCAATTATGAATTGGTTGAGATATCAATACGGTATACTGTCAAAAGTTTTGATGTGAATAGCAGAGACCTCCCTTCATAAACAGAAACTACACATATATTGTTGGACTATCTCAAGGCAAAATGTCTTCTATTTATTGCAAAACACAGTGGGGTTTTGTTGGAAAGGGCAAAGTTACAAGTATTCTTATTCACAGCAACAAGCATGTTAAGGAAAACAATTGCCCAAATTCATGCAAATGATGAAGATAAAATTTTCAGTAAGCTATCACTGGAAAAAGACAAATACGTTCCTGGCTTTTAGGATTCTTCTTCTTCTTCATCATCATCATTAGCTTTCGGTCGGAAATGTTTCCTACTCCTTTTCTGGCTACCGTGAAATCCTACGGTTGTTGTCACATTCTCTTCAGGCACCTCTGGAGAACCTGTGTTGGCTCTTCGAGCACCTCGTTCTTCCAATTTCAGCGGCTCCCAATCTTCCTTTTTTTTCTCTTTGCTTTCTGAGGGATCTAGTATAACTACATCACTTTTATTCTGGGCATCCAAGTTACCAAGAGGCTTTCCACTGGCCTCTTGGTTTGTATTAATAATGTTGGCCTCCAACTTTTCCTCTGCTGAAGCTCCTCTTTTTTTTCCTGATCTGTCTAAGCCTGCCTTTACTGGTTTGCTAAAGATAATTCTTCCTGCACCAGAGCTAGAAGCATCCTGGTTGAAAGATGGTATATAATTTTCAGGACGTGTTGAGCTTTGTTCCTTTCTACCCTTCTTCAAGCCACTCAAGAACTCCATAGCAATTGATTTGTTGGTATCATCACTATATTCTGCAACATTCTCCAAACTGTACTTGGTCCAGCGTTCTGGATGGGCCACATAATCAGGTACTGGCGGGGAACTTTTATAAGACTGAATTGGCTCACGTTGTCTTCCAAAGCTTTCCGCAGGCGTCTTGTTTGAAATACTGAGTGGTGGCAGAGGGCGTTTAAACCTTGTATCAATGACATTGTCTTCACCCGTCAAGGGCACTGCCTGCTTGGCTGCTCCTTCCAGACAATCAAAAATGTTTTGGCTACGTTGTGAAAAGCTTGAGCTCATGCCTTTCAAATGAAAGGGCTGAACAACTGATTTTTGGCTGTTGTGCAAAGAGTCCCCACTCTTATTTGATTCAGAATCCACGTCATCTGAATGAAGCGGCTCCTCAGGGGATACAGCATCAACTTCAGCACTGCCTGCAAACTCAAAATCTTCTGAATCTGAATCACTCAGGGAAATTGTATCTGAGGGAAGGATCCCTTCGTAATCTGTGGCTGCATCAGTCACAATACCCACAAAGGGTTCACCTGCACCTTCGTCTCCCATTCTTGATGATCACTTGTTTATACTACTTTGATTTGGGCCTTTTTACAGCCAAATACGTTCTTCAGCTGTTTCTTAGAGGATGTTTAACACCTCCTAGACCAAAAAGGAAGAGTTACATGCAAATATGTAAGGACATATTATTGATATCTGCTTCTTCGTTTACATAAGGAGATTACAAAATCAAAAGTACCAAAACTTTAAAACAAGAAGAGAGAGAGAAAAATTAAGTGAGAAACTTTAATCTAATCTATTATCCCACCTGGGATTAGTTTTGTTTTTGTAAACAATATTGACATTGTATAAATAGATTCTAAGTAGATTCTACTACAAGATTTCTTGTGATATGTGATATTTTTTCCTATTTATTTTTAAATAAATCTATAATTCTGTAACCTGCCACACACTTATAATTTTACAAGAGTATACATTCTAACCTATTTCTGCTGTGCTTTCCAGTTTTAATGCCATTGGTGCATCATCTTTTACAAGTGCAAACATCTAATAATTATATTTGTAGAGAAACTCTCAACTGGTCAATTTTTAGTGCTTTAGATTTTAGTCCAGGGAATAGAACTTCATTTTAATTAATATTTCATTAAAATAGTGGGTAATCTATCAGTACCAACCTACCAAAAACTTATATTAAAAAATAGTCACCTTAAATTAAAGCAAAGTTCTTGCTTATAAGTAATGAAATGTAAAATACAAGTTGAGGAAATCTATGATTTACTGCAGAATATTACCCAAAATTGTGAGAATTAAAAACTTGGTAGCATTAAATAATCTATAACCATCACATTTTGCTTTTTATTTAAGGATAGAAATAATATTAAGCATAAATTAGTGGCTTCTTTGATAAATTGTGTTCTCTTTTGTGTATTTCTAATGTGATAGTAATATCTTTGCGCTGATGTGCAACTATTACCATTTAGGATTGTGTACAAATCTGGAACATAAAACAACTTTGTTTTGTTTTGACAATTCTCTACAATATCATCCAGATATTTGGTGCTCTAAATTAATTACAATTCTGTAATACATTTGTGTAGACAAACATGAGATTTGTTGGCACAACTTCACACTATTTCTGAAGTCGGAAGGCCTTTTTAGGTATTTAAGCATGTTTAGTAGCCCAACAGTATTAGTGTTCTTATTCTTTAGTGACAGATTCCCCATCACAGGAGAACTGTATTTGACAAGAGTTGTCCAACAAAGTACTTTATGGCGATGGTAAACAGGCATGGAACAACCTCTAGCCACTCACCATCTGGAGTATGAACCAGTATTCCATCCTCTGGGTCAGTAAAAGCCACCAAGGTTCTGAGATCCTGTACCCTGGCAGTAAGAGGTTGGACATATCATCAGCGCAATCAAAAAATGTGGACTTGCAATTTTCTAGTATATCAATAGTACTTGTCACTTTGATAAATGAACCCTCTAGGTTTGCAATGTTAGCATCTACAAATAATTATTTTAAAATTGGAAAGCAAAGATATTTGTTTTATTTATTAATCTAAATTATGTCTAGTAGAATTTTGGGGCAACATATTATTGCACACTAGGCAGAGACAGCAAGTACTGTACTTCAGTGTTGGGACTTACACACCAGGACTGTTTAAACCATCACTAACAACCAAATGTTAATACAATACAGTTAAATCACCAAGCATAAGAATATAATTGGATGAGATCAGAAAAAGAATCAAACTCAAGTTATTTGTTTTTCAAGGACGAAGAAATGTAGATTAAAGAAATGCACATTACAGGTTGTGCATATTATAGATTTTTTTTTGTTTCTCTCTCTGATCTATTCACCTCCTCCCCCCTGGTTGGGCAGTAAACAATAAAATTGTTCCAGAGAGAAAAGACTCACAGGATGTTTGCAGCAATCTGATTGCAACATAATTCAGACATAATGGTTTTTCTGTGACTGAAGTCCCCATCAAAATCTTCCATAGTAGTCTTGATCCTTGCTATCTCAACTGTGGGAAAGCCAAAGAGCACATTATCTTCTCCTTCCCCATCAAGCTTATGCTATTGAAATAAGTTAAGTTTAATTTTTTATTTTACTTGTATCCTGCTTGCATTATTTTTACAAATAACTTAAGGCAGTAAACATGTCCAACACCCTTTCCTCCTTCTATTTTCCCAACAACTACGTGTGTATTTGTGTGTGTGTGTTAGATTGGACTGAGAGAAAATGAGTGGCCTAAAGTTACCCGGCTAACTTTCACAGCTAAGGCAGGACCCAACAATTTCCCACTTTCTAGCCTGATACCTTAACCATTTGACCAAACTGGCTGTTGCTTTTTTTTAAATCCTTGTTTTAATACACACTTAACAGATATATTTATCTGATAGGCCTGAATCTATGATTGCAACATGTCCACAGCTTTCTTGTTATTTTGGAAAAGTAAGAGGAAGTGAAAAAACCTTAATTGGGGGAAAGCTTTTCTTTCTTATCAAGGAATGCTTATTTGTTAATTTTTTTGGAGGGCAAAGAGTTCATAAATTAGTTTTACCCTCTACTACAGAGATATTAATATATATATCTAAAATATGAAAGCAGGCTAGCTTGCTAGATACATATGACTTTGCATTTGATAATCAATATATCAATCACACTAAGAATTATATTAAAAAAAGCAATTTATAATGGAAATGTCAGTTGGTCTTACCTGAACTGCAGGTCTCTAGGTTCCCGTGGGAGGAGTCATTGATGGGATATTCTCAGACCCCATTTGCCTTGAGACTGAGGTTAAATTGAGGCCACTCCCCTCTGCCTCACTTCCTGGCTCCCAGTTTAATCGAAGGTCAACGGTATAAAAGGAATCTGGTAGGAATGGTAAGGAACAGCAAACGGAACACAAGAACAACCACCAAACCAGCCAAGAACCGAACCGACCTAATACAACAAGAACACTCAGGTACTTCCTGCGTCAGCGCCCAATTGGGATGGGAAGTGACTCCTCCCACAGGAACCTAGAGACCTGCAGTTCAGGTAAGACCAACTGAAAGTCTCCTAGGTGATCCCGTGGGAGGAGACATTGATGGGACATACCAACGCTCGATGTCCCAGGGAGGGAATCGGAAGCCTGAGCCTCCCGAGGTTCTAACACTCTATGCAGAACCCGCCTACCAAATGAAGCCTCCGCCAAAGCGTAAGCGTCCACCCGGTAATGTCTGATGAAAGGCGTAGGGGAAGCCCAGGCTGCTGCCCAGCAAATATCTTCTATGGGTGCCTGGGTTGACCAGGCTGCTGATGTGGCCGCGATCCTGGTGGAGTTGGCTGTAACTCCAGTCGGCACTGTAAGGCTGTGAGCCTCGGAGGCTCTAGTAATAGCCGACCTGATCCATCTACCAATGGTAGCTGAGGATACCCTAGCCCCAAGGGTGGAAGGCTGGAAGGAGACAAACAACGCCTCCGACCTCCGGAGAGGAGAGGTACGTTTAAGGTAGATGCCCAACAACCTCCTCACATCTAGTCGATGCCAGGAGCGTTCCCTCTCCCTGGATGGTACCAGACAGAAATCCGGCAGGACTATCTCCTGTGCCCTGTGGAATTGACCTTGGGTAAGAATGAAGGGTCCAGTCTGAGGACCACCTTTTGAGGCTTCAGCAAAAGACGAGGCAGGCTGCGGTAAGAACAGCTTCTTTATTTTAGAACGAGAACTATGTACAAAGCGATTCAGCACCTTTACCTGCTTGACAGCTATTTTATACGGAGCTATCAAGCAGGGAAAACCAATAAGCGCGCCCCCAGCGGCCCGCGCTCAGCCAAGCTGTGCCTTAGCCAATCAGCTTGTTGCTGGCCGTTAAGTAGTAAGTCGAGGACTTTTCGATCCTCAACACCACCCTGTTCTCATGGAATGTGGACAGATCCTCCCTGGAGAACAGTGCATTGATCTCACAAATGCGCCTGGCACACATGATGGCCACCCTTCAGGGTGAGGAACTGCAGGCTCACCGTACTTAATGGCTTGAAGGAAGTCCCCATCAGCGCCTGGAGGAAGATCCGAAGTGGGGAAACGATGGATCACAGGGGGCCTAAGGTTGGCCGCCCCCTGGAGAAACCTTTTAATGATCGGATCCTATGCTAGGGAATGGGAATCCAACTCCCCCAAGAACCGTTGCCAATGCCGCAACCTGCCTCTTGAGGGTGTTATAGGAAACCACCTTGTCCAGCCCGTTCTGCAGGAACTCCAACACCTGAGGTATCAAGGCTTGCGCTGGATCTACCTGAGAGGAACACCAGGCCACAAAAGCAGTCCAAGTGGCATCGTAGATGCGGGTAGTGGATTTTCTTCTGGAGGCCTCAATGGTCGCAATGACTCTAGCCGAAAACTGGGCCTCCCTCAACTGTACCCTCTCAAGTGCCAAATGGTCAACTGGAGCCACTGAGGCTCCAGATGGCGCAGGATCCCCTGGCGTAGAGCCACCTCCCCCCAGGGAATCCTCCAGTGGGGGGACACTGATAGATCTATCAAGGCTGATGGGCCCAATAAGGGCCACTAGAATGACCTCTGCCCCCTCCGCTACCCGGGGGGGACCCCGGGAATGAGTGAAAGAGGGGGAAAGGCATACAGGAGACCCTCTGGCCAACAACACCGCAGGGCGCCCACATCCTCCGCACCCCGAGCTGGGTACCAGAAGATAAACCTCTGGACTTGCGGGTTGGCTGGTGTGGTGAACAGATCCATAACTGGACTGCCGAACCTCTGGCAAATCCTGTCAAAGACCTCGGGAAGCAGTTGCCATTCCCCGTGGTCCACTGTCGGCTTGCAGGTTGTCCACCTCCGAGATGTGCTCCGCCCTCAGCGACAGATGACGTTCCGCCCAATTCCCCAACTTCACAGCCTCGTGCCGAAGGGCGTTCAAGTGGGTGCACCCCTGCTTGTTGACGTGTGCTTTCGCAGCGATGTTGTCTGTCAGCACCAGCAAGTGCTTCCCCTCGACCTTCTTGAAATGACGGAGAGCTAGGTGGATCGCCCTGAGCTCCAGCCAGTTGATGTTTTGATGCAAGTTGGAGGCCGACCAACGTCCCTGGGCCAGCTGGGAGTCGAGATGGCCCCCCCAACCAAAGAGATTCGCGACGGTCGTCAACACCAACCTGTCTGACTCTCTAAATAGAGCCTCTTTGTCCATGGCGGGAGACGTCCACCAGCGCAGAGACTGCCGGACCTGGGGCGCAACGGGAATCTGGAACGTCGCATTGCTGTCACCGTCCCTCTGGTACGGAAGCAGCAGCCATTGCACTTCTTTGGAGTGAAGTCGGGCCCACAGGACTTCACTATGCAGGAGATGCACTTCCCCAGGAGATGCGAGAGCAATATATGGGGACAGAGTGTGCCCTATGGATCTGCTGGACCAGTTGGCAGATACTGTCCCTACGATCTTGTGAGAGGTACACCCTACTCTCCACCATGTCAATGACCACCCCCAGGTGTTGCAAATGTGTAGAGGCCTCTAAATGGCTCTTCTCAAAATTTACGGAGAAGCCCAAGGACTGCAAGGCCCTACTGGTGAACTGAAGGTGCTTCTTCGCAGTCACAGGACTGTGCCCCTGAACTAGGACATCATCTAAATAAATTTGAATTCGAAACGGGACAGACCTGAGGTAACCCGCGACCACTGCCAACACCTTAGTGAAGGTCCAGGGTGCCAAAGCCAGACCAAAGGGAAGGGGCCTGTACTGATAATAGATACCCCCCCCCCCGGTATGAAAATCTAAGGAACCTCCTATGGTCCGGTACAATCAGGATATGGAGATAGGCCTCCATAAGATCAATGGAGACCAGGAAATTCCCAACCCTAATCCCTTCGAGGATAGACTTCAAGGAAGCCATTTTAAACTTCCAGAAAACCAGCCTGGAGTTAAGCAACTTTAGATCTAGGATGGCTCTTCAGCTCCCTGAACTCTTTGAAACTACAAAAAGGTTGGAATAGAAACCAGAACCTCTCTGGTCCTACGGAACCAGTTCCATGGCCTGATTGTCCAGCAGGTGCTGGATGGCCTTGCGCATAAGCTTGCACTTCACCGGGTTCCAAGAGGAGGAGATCCAGAAACGAGAAGGGGGGTGGGAACGAAACTCCAAATGCAACCCACAATGAACAGTGTGGAGGACCCGTTCATCAGTGGTGATGAGGTCCCAGCGGTCCTCAAAGTGAATGAGGTGACCAATAGGAATATCCGAGCCCAGATCCTTTCTTCCTGCGGTAGAAACGCCCACCCCCCTCAAAAGGGCCGCTTATTGTGCTGTTGGTATCGATTCCTGTCTCTATAATATTGCCTATCCCTTTGGCGAGGGTACCTAGGGGGAGGGTACCTCTGTTGCTGCTGGTAGTCCTCTTCTGGAGGCCGATATGCAGGCCTCCTCTGGTAGGGAGTTGACCTTTGCTCTGCCCGCTTGGAAGAAGAAGGAAGTATCCTACGTTTGTTCTTGTCCTCCACCAGCAGCGGGTCCAATATCTTGTCGCTGGAATACTCTGCTGCCGCTAAGGTCCACTTGGACCGGGCCTCCCACTGCCAACTACGGAGCCAAAGCAGTCTCCTGGATGCCACCGACATGGCGAGTGCTTTGGATGCGTACTTGACCGCATCAAGTGTGGCATCTGCTGAGAACTGGGCAGCCACAGTGAGCTTTGCGGTGTCCTGCAAGAGACGTATCTCCGTAGCCAAACCATTCTCCTGCATCTGGATCAGCCAGAGAAGGGTAGACTTATTGAAGGAGGCCGCAGCCACTGCCTTGATTGCCTACATGGCCGCCTGGAAGTTCTTGCATAGAGTCAGTTCTGCTCTCCTATCTTCCGCCTTAAGGTTGTTGATGATGTCGCCAGCCACCAGAGAGCAGGACGCCCAAAGCCGCCACAGGTAGTTCCACTGTCGGAATCTGTAAGGCCTGGGGTAGCAAAGGCCATGGGCTTTGCCCACTGGGACTTGAGAACCTCCATGAACATAGAGGGAGTAGGGATCTCCTTCTTTTCTACTGGGGGCTTGTGGAATGGCCCCTTTTTTGTGCCTGGAGCTGGGGTAGCCGGAGTTCCCCCAGCAGCGGGAGCCACCTCCAAATCTGCAATTGCCTTAGCCTTGCGCAGAAGGGAACCAAATTAGGAGGGGGGAAATGAGCCAGTGAACACGGAAGCCTCCGGAGCAGGTTCTTCATCATCAGAGAAACCAACCTCCTTCTGACCCCCTTCATCTAACAGAATCCTCACTAGCTGTTAGAGGGGGAGCTCTGCCTAGCTCACGAGCAAAAGTTGCAGGTTGGTTTGGATGACCTCCCGGTGTCCCACAAGAACTCCTCCTCCTAGAGGATCTAGATTTTTTCTGCATGCCTGTGGCAATACCTTCAGATATTGCCTGGGCAATAATCTGCTGAAACCTCTCTGGAAGCTAAGGAAATGCTGGGGAAAGAGTGGGAGGCCCCAAAACCGGCTCTGCCTCAGCAGATTAAGGGAGCTAGCCTAGGTCTGTCCAGCCCAGCAACAGGCCTGCCGAAAAGATCCCCTCTCTGGGCCCAGGGTGCTCAGAGTTGATGGGGGGAACATGGAAAGATCCCCAGGATCTAGGGCTGATTCAGCCACAGGCGTGAGCCTAAGGGGAAAACAGGACCTGGAGGGGGAAGGGCTAATGCAGTGCCTGGCTCTTTGAGAGGAAGCCCTGGTGGCAGCTCCCTCATGCCCACTGTGAGAGCCCCCTGTTGTGGCAGACTTAGATGTGGGCCTCTTGCCTGAGGCCCTCTCTCTGGATGTGGAGGGGCCTCTGGAAGTCCCCTCGCCAGGCTCAGGATCCACAGGGAAATCCGGTGCTGCCTCCCCTGTCGCCTCGTGGCATCTGCCATTAAGAACAGCTTCCCCCAAAGCCTCAGGTACTCACAGCTCCTCAGATGGCTCTGAAGCCTCCTCCACTCCTCACAGAAGAAAAAGAATGTTGCCAGCGATCCTGAAGGGCCCTGTGCCTCCGTGCATGTAGCCCCAATGCCACTGATCTGTGGCTCGATTGTGGAACGCTGGAAGGAACAGCTGAAGATGATTCCCCGATTCATGGGGAGAGTGCCTCTGCAGACCTCTAATGGCTGCCCTGGCCACGTGCATCTTCCCGGATGCCGGCAGGGATCCAAGATGGTGGCCGCCGACCATGCAGCCTGATTCCTCCAGGAGCTCTGCCTCAACAGTGCCACCCAGAGGCCTGGAGGAACTCCAGCAGCCCCCAATGGGGTGGAAATGCAGTTCCTCTTCTGATCTCCTGGAGGCCGACTTTGGAGGCTCCCCAGAAACTGCAAGCAGTCTTGGAGCCTGA